AAAAAAAAAAAAAAAAGATACTCAGCGTATCTTAAAATGAAAGACCTCAAGAAAACTTCAAGTATCAAAAATGAAAAACACCCTCAATATCACGTCGCAATAACGAAACACTCTAAGGGCCAGACACTGAACGATGCATCAGGAAGCAACAGAAGAAAACGGAAAGATAAAGAGTCACTGTACCCAAACAGAACTAGCAGACATTCAACCATTTCAAGAGGTAGCATATGAGCAAGAACCAATCGCACTGAAGGAAGAATTTCAAGCTGTACTGAACGCACTAGCCAAAAACAAGGCTCCAGGAATTAACAGAAGACCAACTGAAAAGTTACAACAAGCTGATGAAGCCCTGGAAGCACTCGGTCAACAGACTGGAAGAGATCCATGTGCATATTCTCTCCATAGAAAGGTGACCCAAAGGAACACTCATATTGTAACACAGTTATCACTGATGTCACAGGCAAGGAAAGCTTTGCTAAAGTTCATCTGACAACTGTTGTGGCAATACATTGTCAGGGAGCTGCCAGAGGTGTGGACAGGATTCAGAAGACGGAGAACAAAGGATACCACTGCTGATGTCAGATGGATCTTGGCTGAAAACAGAGAATACTAGAGAGATGTTTACTTGTCTTTTATTGACTATGCCAAGACATTCGAATGTATCATAACCAACTATGGACCCTTGATAAGAATGGGAATTCCAGAGCCCTTAATTATGCTCACGTGGAACATGTACTTGGAACAAGGGGCTATTTTGTGACTAGAACAAGGAAATACTGCATGGCTTAAAATCAGAAAAAATGTGTGTCCTCTCACCGTACTTACTCAATCCGTATGCTGAACAAATACCCAGAGATGCTGGATTCTATGAGGAAGAATTCAGCATCATAACTGGATGAAAGCTTATTAACAAACTGGGTTATGCTGAAGATACAAACCTGCTTGCTGAAAGTGAGGAGGACTTGAAGCAAGTGCTGATCAAGATCAAGGATTGCAGCCTTCAGTAAGGATTACAGCTCATTGTAAAAAAATCAAATCCTCACAACTGAACCCATAGATAACATCATGATAAATGGAGAAAACTTGAAGTTGTCAAGGATTTCGTCTTGCTTGGATCCACAATCAATGCTCATGGAAGCAGCAGTCCGGAGAGCCAATGACACATTACAATGGGTCACTCTTGCGGCGCACGACCTCTTCCACATGTTGAAAAGCCAGGATTGTCACTTTGAGGATGACTAAGGTACACCTGCCCCAAAGCATGGTGTTTTCAGATGCCTCATCTACATGTGAAAGTTGGACACTGAATAAGGAAGACTGACGAAGAATCCATGCATTTTTAATTGTGGTCCTAGAGAAGATTATTAAAGATACCATGGACTGTTAAAAGAACAAACAAATCTGTCTTGGAAGAAGTAAAACCACAATGGTCCTTAGAGGTAAAGATGGCAAGACTTTGTCTCAAGTCCTTTGAACATGTTGTCATGAGAGACCGGTCCCTGGGGAAAGACATCGTGCTTGGTAAAGTACAGGGGCAGCACAAAAGTGGAGGGCAGTGGGTCATGATGAGTCACAACCCACTTGATCACGTGGAACAGCAGCAGCATGGGAGTTTATTAGGGGACTTAAGGGGCCACAAGCCAAGATTTGTAAACAGCAAGGACGTAATTACTTGTCTACAGCAACCCCTCTCCTTTGCTGTAGCCAAGTCTCTCCCAGTACTCAGTTTCTCAGCCATGTGGGTCCCTTGGCCTCTGTGGACCAGAAAGCCAGCCTGCTGCTCTGCCTCACAGCTTCTTCCTCAGCGCGCTTCTGTGTTCTACTTCTGGTCTCCTAGCCTGGGCCTCCGGTTGCTCTGCTGTTGGCCTCCGCCACTTTACACAGATCTTGACTGTGCCGCACTGGCGGCTCCTCTTCCCCTGCTCCCAGCATCCCTCTCTCTCTTCCTGGCAAGATAGCTCATCCTTACCGCCAGAGAAGTGGCAAGGAAAACTGACCAATCCCCTCTTAGAGTGTAAAAGCCCTTATCTGCATTGGCTCATCCAATCATTTGGTGGGGGTTAGAGCTACTTGTACACAAGAGCCACATTAAGAAATTTCATTGCATCAACAGACATTAAAAAGATATAATCAAAACAAATGCCATTTATCATTTGATATCCTTTCTGACCCATCTAAAAGGCATTTCAGTTTTTAAGGAAAAGTGAAAAAGAAATACATGTGGATTGAGAAGCAACAAAGGCCACATGGAAGAAGCACACCAGCCTGTGTGATCACAAGGTGTTGACAGGATCAGGTATCAAATGGCCCAAAACAATCATACTAATGTTAACAAGGTGCCCATCTGCAGACAATGGGCCATCTCCTCACAGAAAGGTAACAAGGAAGGGACAAGCCAGCCAGGGTACAGAATAACACCAACAAAACACATTCCTCTAGTTCTAATGCCTCCTCCCACCCCCTTACTATTTGTAAGTTCTATCTTACAAATCCAACTAGACCAGAGTGTGTACACTGGTACAGATAAGAGCTCTCAATACACAGACTCCAGGATGGATAAACCCCTCAGGAACAATAATGGGAGCAGCGATACCATGAGGGTAGGGGAAGGAGGGGGGAGGAGGGAAGAAAGGGGGAACCGGCAGCAATGATCAAAGTACAACACACATACACACTCAACCCCAAGGGGGACAAACAACAGAAACGTGGGTGAAGGGAGACAGCGGACAGTGTAAGATATGATGATAATGATAATTTTTAATTTATCACGGGGTCAGGAGGGTATGGGGGAAAGGATAAAAACGAGGCGCTGATACCAAGGGCTCAAGTAGAAAGAAAATGTTTTGAAAATGATGATGGCAACCAATGCACAAATGTGACTGATATAATTAATGTCTGGATTGTTTTATGAGCTGTAAGAGCCCCAATAAAATGATGAAAAACAAAACAACAAACCCTTCTGGCAGCCGTCTTCGCTATTGTCTTGGTCTCTTTCTCAATGGCACTCCACACAGACCAGGACTTTCAGCTCCTCGTGAGTGCACGTTCTAGTTTGTTTGTTTTCACTGCACTCTGTTGCCTCAAACTAGCCCGGCATCCATTTCAAATCTGTTATCTCAAAGTTCCCTCCCTACTCGTGGCACATCTGTCAGCAAGGACACGCCATGTATGACTAGCCACCTCTCTCTCTCTCTCTCAAACGCGCCCCAGAGCAGGCCTGACCCACCACAGTGCACGCTCAGCCCCCCGCGCTCCAGAACGGCAAAGAACCTGCCAAGTAGCAGACGTGGGTGGCACTTGGCTCATTGCTTTCCATCAGTAGGTACTGACTGACTTAGAACCTTGACTAGACACAGTCTGCTCTAGCCAATCAGAAACATGTTTCCAAACATGAAGGATTAATCAATGAAAAGTTAACACGTATACTGTTTTTAGTTTAGTTAAATCAATTACTTTGTTCCTAATCACCCCCAAACACAATCTTTTTAGAATTCTCTGCCCTTCTACCTTAAACCCAGATGGCAAAATGTTAAGCGTCGTGACTACTCTGCAGGAGATCTCACTATCTTCCTTGTCTCATCAGAACCGCCTTCCCGTTTACATTAAGACATTGTACGCAGAGCTGCTTTCTAAGAGTAATAACGCATCGTTTCATTTTGAAGATCTGTAAGATCCCATCTAGATTCAGTCTAGAAACGGAGGCAAGATGAGTAAGGGAGAGGACGAACGTTACCCTCCAGAGCTAAGACCCACGAACACTCTCAGTTTGGGTTCTCCCGATAACATTAAAACTCAGTTTACCATGGACCCGATGGAACACGAAACATCTTAAAAGCAACCGGCCTCATCTGTTCAAAAAGTGAACGTGATTGTGGGAAAAGAAGGTGGGCGAGCACCCAGAGCAAAAGAAACTTGGGTAGACAACGAGCAAATGTAACGCAAACGAGCCAGCTAATAGGAACCGTCTTTGGGATGACTGAGGACAAGGAAAACGGCTCGGATGTTAGATGTTAGGGAATAAGCTTATGTTCTGAATGGGAAATGGCACTGTGGGTGGTGGGCGATGTCCGTGTTATGAGACGCACTCTCGTATGAAGGGACAGCTAACAGGCCGCTAGGTTTACTGACCATTTGCTTCACATGGTCCACAGCTATAAGGAGGCACACCTCACAGAGTGCCTGGAAAAATCCCATTAGCCTTCAGTTTTGTTCTCTCCCCTGCTCCCCCAACATTTCTAAGTCTCCCCATCTACCGAATAAAATAAATACGGCAAAACCGTACATTTTTACATCTAGGTAAAGAATGCAGGTGTCCACTGAACTATTACAACTGTAAAGGGATCTAAATCCTTCAAAATAAAAAGTAACTTGAGGTTAATGATGCAGAATATAGACTTATACTCACATTTGTTGCCTCGAACAGCATAAGCTAGCTTCAGTTCGGGGTAAAATCTGCCCATCTGCTCAATCACCTTTCCCGTCTGCAGGGCCAGCTCATACGTTGGGGAGAGGCACAAACACTGAAAGTGCAGAGTGAGAAGTCAAGCCAAGCGCTTACTGCGCAGGCAGAGGGCAAGATGTGTCAATGAAGGCACACGGTCAAAAGTGGCGATTCTTAGGTTCATGGCTTTTAAGGGCCAAAACTCTGGCTCAGAAAAAGACACTTGAAAACAGCTATTGGCCACCTGAGTACGAATACCCATGTATGAACATAGGCCTAAAGCTCCAGTTAGAGATTAACAGCTTTTTCACCTATTTAGAACGTTCTCAGAACTCTCTAGTGGCTGAGAATTGTGGAGACATTCCTGCAAGTGAAGAAATCGGGCCCATCAGGCAGTACCCCACACTGGCTAACCAGAGAAAGGGGAGCGGGACTGTTGCTATTATTGAAGCCCAACCATCTTGCTGAGCTTGATTCGAAGAGCTCTAGTTTATGTCAACAGTACCAGTGCTGCATCGATGACGTAACAATTAGCATAGGCATCTTCCAAAAAGCAAGACAGCTGAAATCACCCATCAAACGGCATTCCACCCCCTTCCAGCTACAGGTTAACAGAAAACCCAAATTCATTGAGTCCTTACCTGGGGGTATCTGTTTGCAGGCTCTACTTGGCTGAGCATGGCCAATACAAAGGCAGCTGTTTTCCCAGTGCCCGACTGAGACTGGGCAATCAAGTTCTGGGGGCTGGAGAAGAAAGGAAACTTTGTATGAGCATAATCTCACATAGCCCTTTGGATAGTAAAAATAAATAAAGTTTAACCAAAAGAAGACTGTATTCTGAATTCCTTAAAAAGCAGGACACTTTGGGTTGGGAAGCAGTTTTACATATGCAGATGTCACAAGCAGAGAGACTTTAGGGTGGGTCTGGAAGCAGGCCATGTGGGTCATCCATCACAGCAGCCACAGTGATCTTTTGGACCTGTGCCACCAGCTCATGCCACCCTCTGCTGAACAATCTTCCACTCACTCCCGATTTCACTCAGGAGTCAAAGGAAAAATCTTATAACAGCTGACAAGGTCCAACCTGATAGGGCTCACGTCCTTGCTCTCACTCTGCCAGTGTTGCCACAAATGGCAAGTGTGTTCTGCACTGGTCTGCCTTCTGTTTACAACAGCAGCTCTCAACCTGTGGGTCGCGAACCCTTTGGGGGTCGAACGACCCTTTAGCAGGGGTCGCCTGACCCTTTCACAGGGGTTGCCCGATTTATAACAGTAGCAAAATTACAGTGATGAAGTTGCAACGAAAATAATTTGATGGTTGGGGGGATCACCACAACATGAGGAACTGTATGAAGGGGTCGCGGCATTAGGAAGGTTGAGAACAACTGTCCCCAAGCAAGTCCATGACTAACCCCTCCACAATTCTTGCTCAACTCCCAACCTAACCACTTGATTAAAAATGATAATTAGCTATCTGCAGCCTACTTTAAAACAATGAAATCCAAGATGTATTGGCAGACAGATATGTGAATAAGCATAGTGGAAAATATTGGTGGTAGTATTGTATGGGATAAATAATGTAGGTTCACTATCAAGTTCTTGCAACTTTATACTTGAAATTTTTGTAATAAAACTTTATGGAGAGAAACATAAACAACTTAAAACACACACACACACACACACACACACACACAACTACTTTATGGGTAAAAATTGCAACTCCTCTATTTTCCCTATAGCATTTAGCCCTGTTAACATACGATATACCATATACACTCATCTATAAGGTTCTATGAAAGCACTGAGATCCACTAATTCAAATGATCAATGAGAAATTATCTAATACTCGATATATCTACCTTTATGTATGCTCAAAAGTTCCAAGCTAAAGAGAGATGTAACCCATCTTAAAAAAAAGTCACTGTTTTAGATTCAGAACAAAGAAAACATTGAGAAAATACAGTCCTATCATATCTATTTTCAGACGAATAATGACGTGATTTAGGACTTAGGATTGTATGCCATTTTAATATAACCATAATGTGAACATGGATTTCTATAGAGTCTTCTCATGCTTCAGAACCTTATTACTCAAAATATCCCTATCTCCTTACACAGCTGTAGGAGTCCAAAGACTTTGATTTTTGCCCACCATGACCAACAAACACACTTTATATATTCATATAATGAAATCATGGTTGTCATTAAAAGTATACCGATAAAAAACGTGTATTTATCTACATAGAAAGATCTTTAAGTAAAATAAAATAATCATATAAAACAATACATATGGTTTCATTTAAAATTATACATATAAGTAGGAAAAGTCTGGCAATCTCTACAATGTTAGTAGTGTATAGGGAGAGGAAGGTTATAGGGGATTTACTTTCTAGTTTTTAAGAAGCATGTGTTACTACTTTTTAAAACCCTAAAGTGCACAGCTGGAGGAGAGCTGTCTACAGTACATACGGTTCAGCGAGCATCAAAGGCAAGGCATTCTCTTGTATCTTGGATGGGCGGTTGAAGCCCATGGCATAGACACCTTGGAGAAGCTGTGGTTTCCTAGGAAAAAGTGAAAGGTGAAAGTCATCGTCTTTTTGGCTGCTCAGAGAAGGAAAATGTCTGGGGGGGAGGGGGGGTTTTCCTCTTTCACTGCTGTTACAGAGCTTATAACTAACAATACTCGAGTCACGAACTTGCTGAACTTAGCAGCGTGCTTTGTAGGTTCCATGGAAATTCTACTTAATAAACAGCACAAAGCTAATAAATCCTTTTACTTAAACTTATTTTAGCTAAAAAGGTCTGCTGTGTGGGAAAAAGTACTGTATATACTCGTGTATAAGCCATGTCTTTCAGCATATCCTTAATGCGGTTTTTGTGGTGAAACTAGGTGCCCTGGCTGATATTTGGGTCAGTTTATACTCAAGTATATACGGTATACAAAAAGTTTTAACCCACCACCATTATGTCCATTTAAACTCACAGCAAATCTATAAGACAGAGTAGAACTGCCCTTGAGGGTTTCCAAGGCTGAGTCTCTACAGAAGCAGACAGCCTCACCTTTCTGGGAAGCAGAGGTGAGTGAGTCTAATCCACAGGGTTCCTTCATAGGAGGCTTATTTGTATCTCTGTTTACATACAAAAGGAAGGGGCACTCACAGTCGGAGCTCTTCAAAAGACCGCACGGAGTAGAGGGGCGAGTTCGGGTCCCGCTGCAAGACTTCCACCTGGTTTGTGTTATCAACCAGGTTACTTCTGATCAGCTTGTTGAGTAAGGACTGGGCGGCCCTGTCCTCTGTCAGAAAACAAGTGCCAAGCTCTCAGTCCTTGAGGTCCACAATGAGCTCACAGAAGTCGACTGCTATGACAATTTTAAGTAATCATGTATATTTGGATTGGGTCTAATTCCAGGGACATCAGATTTGATTAATAAATATAATGCAATGGTTTGAGGTATTTTTCAACTGAAGAGGTACTAACTTTTTTAAGATCGTATTTTCTTTGTTGCTGAGAATATACACAGCAGGACATACAGCCAAGCCATAATTTCCACAGGTACCGTTAGCGGGACTGATGACATTCCACGCCCACTCTCCTGTTTGGAGGTGTTCCTCCCCCTATGGCAGTGTGTGTTACAAAAGGAAGGAGAGCTCGTGATAGCCGCACATCACCTGTTTGGCCTCAATTCTTTCCAGAAGACTACTCCAAGTACAGAGCTGCGAAGTGGGAGTCGACTCAATGGCAGCGGATTAGTTCTTCTAAGTCCTCCTGGTCTGAGGCTATCTAAAGCTCCTATCTAGGCCAATACTTATGTACAGTTGACACTCAATATAAACTAAAACTATTAAACCCATGGTTAACAATTAAAAAATAAGACTGAACAAAGTTTCTATCTTGATACCATATAAGCTGTATACATCTTGTCATTACTTTGAGTATGGATGCATATCATTAAGTATTGTTTTATTAAACTACAGGCAAGTAGTCTTAACATTTCTTTTCCTGTATAAGGTAAGCAATCAAGAGAATATTTCCTGCTTTTGCTGAAGCTCATCGGCTTTGCATTGTGAAATTTCTCAAAAATGCAAACCAACAGAATTCACCTACTGACTAATGTTTTAGCCATGTATTCTCTGGAATGCAGAATCTCGTAGCAGCACTCAGTCCATGTTACCTTTTTCTTCTTCATCCGGCTTCTCTGCATGAGCACTGGTCTTGACAACAGCACCTTAATCGGATACAAAGTGGCCGTCACTCAAAATCACAAACTACACCCAACAGCTGAGACAATTCCAATTCTACAACACACAAGACATGTAAAGGCCCAAGGAGCAAAAAAAAAAATGAGGTAACCAGGCTATTGACCAAAACATTTTATTGTTCCTAATCAAACAAGAGTAGGAAATACTGTTGCTTATATTTCATTCCTAACCCAGGTTCTCTCACCCTACTCCACAAAATGTTTACTTCCTTCACAACACTAATATTTCTACAATGTTGAGAAAAAGGATTAATGCATAATGATCAGGAACCTCACTGATGCCAAACAGAAGAAACCATATTGTGGCAGTCACATAATTTCATGTCAACTTGATAAGTAAGTACAGGGGTGGAGTCTAGCCTGTTAATCATGTCACAGCCTGATGAGGCCTCCTTGTGGGCATGGCCTTCTCATGAGGATTCTGGGAACTTCCTTTCTTTCTCCTACACTCTGCTTCACCTTCCTGTTGAGGAGTCACACTCAGAGAGCGGGGGAACCAGTGCTGAGCTGCTTCCACCAGCACTGGATCCCCCGACTTTGCACCCACCGGCTTGTGACCTTCCTGCATTCAACATCACTGCATGTGCTGTGTTGAGTCTGAAGAGGAATTTGGGACTAGTATCGAACGTATGGACTAATATCAGACTTATGCACTTGGTCTGGACTGAGCTGGGGTGTTCTCTCACCACACAATTGTTCTTTGATATAAAGCTCTCTCTTACACACGTGTGTCTCTGGATTTGTTTCTGTAGTCAACCCGGCCTAACACATATCATCAAATAGAAAAACAATTTAATGTCATTGAAAGTCTGTCTGTAGATTGATGAATACATATGTATATATTTAAACCATATCTTGAAGAGTGTAACACAAGTGTGTAGTTATATAAAAATATATGAAACGCATAGAAAAAAAGATCGTAAGCGAATTCATAGTGGTATAAAAGTTATATCCCTCTCCTCTGTAACACTAGCTATTATCAATAAAAAGATTTTTTTAATAGTATGACTTCAGAATAGTCTTAGGTTGTTCATACTTTGTCCATCACATCTCTAACTGAAGCCCATTAAAACAACAATCATTTTTGGCAGTATATCCCCATGGCTAGTAATAAACAGAATTATTTATAAACCACTTAGCCACTCCCATCCTTTATATCAATCAAACTCTGGTCTCACAATCCAACTGGTTGAATAAACCAACTGCCAGCATTTGCCTTTCTGGTACATGTAAGAATTTTTCTTCCAGGCAGTTGTTATACCAAAACAAATACTAAAGGAAAACGTAAAACTAGTTTTCAGTTACTCACCATTGACATCTGGTTTGATTTTCTCTTCCTTAAGATGCAAGTTGCTCAACTAAATAGAGAATGAGAAGACGAGTTTCAGGTAAATCACTTAGGAGATTTTGAATCCATAGAGCCTTCCCAGTGACACTGGACCCAAGTGAGCCCCTTTCAAGACGTGTTCATAATTAGCTCCGTTGGTCTGCTAAATGTTTGTGTTAGAATAAACATTTCCCATACATTCAGCCAATAGAAAAAATTATTTCTCAGCAGCTGAGCTTCCACACCTAATTTACAAGCCCAAAAGATAAATATGTTTATTAATGTGATTACAAATCCTCACAGTGGGCTATCATTTAATTTGCCAATCTCTCATATGCCAAGCAAGAGGGATTTTTTAGAGATTTTTTAGAGATATTGAAACATACAGGGCAGGTTGGGAGGACTGCCCTGAGCACCACCTGTTAGGAGGAAGAGGAGGAGGAGTCAGCCAGGCTGCAGGACATTAGCGCCCCAGGACCCTGTACATGCGTGCATGCGGCCTCACATTGCAGTCTCCTGTGCAGGCTGCCACTCAGTCTACCTGTGTCATCGAAATAGCCACCAGGCGAACGTGGGAGAAAAGGAAGAGACAGATCAGAGCTGAAAAAAAACAATCAATAGGGCTTTGATCAAACACTCTGACGGAGGGCTATCCTAGCAGGATTTAGTTCACCTATCAGAATGTAAATATCTTAAAGATAGACTATCTTCCTTTCTTAATCACTCTCTGGACCTAGCACAAATCATCTGACAGAAAGTGGAGCTGAAGACAGTAGTTAGGCCAGGGTCAGAGAAGAAAATCCCGGCAAGGGCAAAGGGTCGTTTCTTGACGAGCCACCCAATCCCAGTCTGAGGTGCTGTGTGCACTCACCTTTCCTCTAGGTCCACGAAGGGTGCAGGAGGAGAGAAATGAGGCATGTTTTACTGGGTACTTTGCTGGGAATGTTTATTACTATACATTAATATGATTTTTAAAAACTCAATTAAAATTAGTGAAAAAGTAAAAACTTTTCTACTATATTCAAATGTCACTTGGGAAATGACTTGAGAGAGAAGGATGACTGATTTAAAGGTAAATGGATTACACTGAATAGGGAGGGCCTGCCTTAGACAAAACCAAAGCGGGTGACTTAGAAAATCTCAGTTGCTGCTCCTCTGTAAGGGGTTTCCATTGAAGGGTTGTAGACAGCCGGGGGAAAGCGCCGGTACTGGGCGATGAGAAAAGCAGCACAAATAGAAATCTACTCTTTCCTTCCTCAACAGGAGGAAGAAATGAAGCTCAACACAGCAAGTACAGGTGAACACAGTAACTTGCCCTGTGCCTTAGGATTCATAGGAGTTTCATATGGCACAGGCATCTTTAACAGTACTGTATGTGGTGGAAGGAGGTGGGCTGAGACCTCACTGGCTCGTCTTGATTTCCTCCCTCTCAGTCAACAGCCTCCGGCCAAGAAATCTGAGGTTCCTTCTCCACAACCCCCGACTGGTTCAGAAGAGAGGTCCCCAGATACTGACGCGGGAGGACCGGCACTAAAGAGGTAAGTGAAGGGGAGAGTTGGGTGACAAAGCCCCACTTTAAGTGTTTAGTTACTCTTAAAGTGTTTAGTTTATACTTTCAATCACTCAAGAATGAGCAGACAACTAAGGATTGTCAGACATCTGAGAAGTCTCCACTATGAAGATGGAGACCCTAACCCAAATGGCTAAAACCTTTCAGGAAACAGACTGCGCAGACAGAAGAAACCAAATTACCAATGTCTTCAAAATGATGAGGAGATACTGCAGCCATGAGAAATGCATACAACATTGCTGTGAAAGGGACCACTGCAGGAACATGTTAGCTCTGAAAATGGAAATCATGACGGTAGAACGAAAACTTAAACAGGTTAGAAGGTAACTAGGAAAAACTCCCAGAAAATAGAGAAAACAGATAAAGACTGAAAACAGAAAAAAGATAAAATTTAACTATTTTCAGTAAGTGGTGGTAAAACATTTAGATATCTATAGGGGCAAAAACTGAATCCAAGTCAATACCTAACACCGAGTTATAAAGTTAATTTGACAGAGATCACACACACAGATGTAAAACATAAGGCATTAAACTTCTGGAGGGAAACTCTTGCGGCCTTGAGAAAGGCAAATTTCTTAGAACACACACACACACACACACACAAGCATTATTAAAAAGTTAGTAAATCAGAATCGACCAAATATTTAAATGTGCTGCTCATCAAAAGGTACTTAAAAAAAAAAGTTTCTGTCTGTAAGAATAAATATGCAATGAAGATAAGGGACTTCTACTAGAATAAAGAACCCCAACTCAAAAAGAAAACCACCTCTTAAAAGTGGGAAAAGATTTAAAAAACTACTTCAAAGAAGTTATAAGGACAGCAAAGAAGCACATACGATTTTTCTCAACATTAACAAAAAAACTACATATACCAAAAACTACCAAACTCACCATCGCCTAGTATATTCTGACTCAGCGACCCTATCGGGCAGAGCAGACCTGCCCTCGTGAGTTTCTAAACTGTAAATTTTACTGGACTAGAAAGCCTTACGTTTCTCCCTTGACTGGTGGTTTCAAACTGCTGACCTTGCGGTTAGCAGCCACAGGGTAACCCACTATGCCACAAGGGCTCATACAACCATAAACTTCAATGTAAAATATCACACTTACTTTGGAATACAATTTGGTCGTTTTTGAAAATATATAACACCATATGATTTTTTACCATATAATCCAGCAACTAAACTACTCTTGGGCATCTACCTCCAAACCTGCATCCATACAAAAATCTGTTCAATTAAACCTTATTCGTAATGGTCAAATGTGAGAAAACATGCATTATGAGAGGTAAAAGAAGCCAGTTCCCCCAAAGGTTACATATTATAAGCCCCTACTTATCTGACATTTTGGAAAAGGCAGAACTATATTCACAGAAAACAAACCAGTAGTTGCTAGAGAGAGATGGGTGAGAAGAGAATGACTACAAAGGAATTCAAGGAAACTTTGGAGGAGGGTAAAGTGTTCGCTATCTTTGTAGGGGGCGCTCATAAAACTACACGCTGGGGCTTCAAAAGTTTGTGAAAAATTCTAACATCTTCTAATGCCACTGTCTCATGAACCAGATGAATCAATCTAAAGGATTTATCTATCAACTAATGAATCCTGAAAAGAGAACACAAAATTTTAAAAAAGGGGGTGGGGGATACACCAACAATGATACTTTCCAAGACAATTTACTATGATTTAAGGACAAAAGTTTTCCAGATTTCGAGGACCACTCAGTGACCAGCATCAATATGAATGAAAATAGACTCATCACTATGTGAATTTCTGGATACTGAATATAAGATTCTCCAGCCTTACAAGGGGGGAGGGGACAACACAGGAAGACAGACTACATCAGGAATCAGAAGGTTGCCAGAGAGCTCAACAATACAGACAGAAAGCTAAAGGCAGTGTGGTGTCCCTGGGCAATGCCAATGATTCATGCACCTGGCTGCTAACAGAAAGATTTTCCATTTGAATACACCAATGAATGACAGGTGAATTGGAAGGCCAGTCACTGAAAATCCTACTGAGCAGTCTACTCTGACAAACATGGCCACAGGTTTTTATGAAACACCTCACGGTGTGGACAGACCTGGAACCACTAGGCTGAATGAAGCTAGTCCATCACAAAAGGGTAGATATTGTATGGAACCACCACTCGAAGGGTCAACGACAAGACAAAGGCAAGCATCTGTTCTAGGGCATGCCATCTCCTAACCTGGCCTCCTAAGCAATGAGATGGTGTGCCTAATGGTCAAAATCCATATACCACCCTCTTATTTGTACATTTAAAAACACCCACACTTCCACAGAGGAGGGTTGCCTCTGCTGGGGTCACTTTCTCAGGTAAGGAGAAGAGGGAGAAGCCTAATCAGGTCCTGCCGTTCAACATTGTTCTACGGTCACCCCAAATCACCAGAGACTCCTACAAGGGTGCTCAGTGAACCCTAATGGAAATTCAAGGGGGCGGGGGAAGAGCATGTCTATCTCAGAGAATGATGATGGCAACAAATGTACAAATGTGCTTGACACAATGATATATGTATGGATTGTGATAAGAATTGTACGAACCCCCAATAAAATGATTTTTTAATTAGCATCTGTCAAAGGGGGGTAATTTAAAAGGTTCCCCAATAAAATAATGCCCCTAAAGTGTACCAGGGACATACATTAAACCATAGATATAGGAATGGACTTTGAGCTCTCCCTTAATCTAAAACCCTACTCTAAGAATACCATACATACTCAAGTATAAGCTGAACCAAGTATCAGTCGAGGCACCTAATTTTACTACAAAACCACACATTAAAAATGTGCTAAATCTCTTCTGGCCTCTGGTCTCCGCCGCGGAAGCAAGATGACGAAGGGAACGCCATCCCTCGGAAAGCGTCACATTCAGACGCACACCTTGGGCCGCCGCTGTGGCTCCAAGGCCTGCCATCTCCAGAAGTCAACCTGCGGCAAATGTGGTTGCCCAGCCAAGCGCAAGGGAAGGTATAACTGGAGTGCCAAAGCTAAGAGACGAAATACCACTGGTACTGGTCAAATGAGACACCTAAAAATTGGGTACTGCAGATTCAGGCATGGATTCCGTGAAGGAACAACTCCTAACCTCAAGAGGGCAGCTGTTGCAGCGTCAAGTTCATCTTAAGGATTTCAACATTTGGTTGTGCAATTAATGTTCTTGTATTAAAAATGTAAAAAAATAAAGTTTGTTGAAAAACTTGCTTATACACGAGTGTATGTGGTAATTAGATCTATGGTGTGGCCCTACTCAATAACTTGCCCTCATGAAGATAGGGGTACTATAGCTAAGGGTGGTAAAGAAAACAGATGGTGCCTAGCTATCGGGGAAAAAAATATAGTGTTTGCAGTCATAGAGACTTGTCTTAACATCTAGTGAGGTGTCTGCTAAGTCTACATGGAAGAAGCCTGTGTGATCCAAGGATTGTAAATAATAAAATCCAAGACAGAAGGAGGGAACAGTATTAGAGCTTAAATTCTGAGCACCCAGTTTGCAGAATGCTATGGATGACAGTGAAAGCCCAAAGCCCATTTGTAGAATCCCAGTGTGGAATAAGCTCTTGTGAATCCCCTCTGACCAGTGACCAGGGATATTGACAGTCTTGCTATTTAGAGTACACTAGAAAGTAGGCTATTGCAGCGATAGGTTAAAATCTAACACCTTATAATCTGTACTCCCCTTTCACCCATTTTAAATTTGTTCTGGCTTTCTGCTTCTTTTTGATAGGTTTTACTCTTTTATTTTGCTACTGTTGTTGGGTTATGTTTTTCTTTATATGAAATTCAGGATGGATAAATCTATAGACAGTCAGTGGATTACTAGTTTCTTAGAGGAGCCCTGGACATGTAGTGGTTACTCACAAGGTCAGCAGTTCAAAACCACAAGCACCTCCATAAGAGAAAGGCCTTTCTACTCCTATAAACAGTTACAGTCTCAGAAACTCACAGGGGCAATCCTCTTCTATAGGGTCACTATGTGTCAGCATCCACATGATGGCAGCAAGTCTGAGTAGCGCTATGGCAGGGGAGGTTGGGGGAAATGGGGAGCTACTGAGTACAAGACAGGAGAAAACGTTCTAAGATAGGCTGTGGTGATAGTTACACAACTCTTTAATATGTTTAAACTATAAAATTGTATAACATGTGTCAATCATACTGTTAAAATTTAAAACAAAGGCAACTGGTTTTAAAGACAATAGACAATGCCTTTAAAGTTGGCAGGGAAATAATGCCCAAACTATGAAATGAAGCCATTACATAAATGACAAGGCAAAATATTGTTTTCAGATATGCAACATCTTAGAAAATGACTCAACATCTAGAAAGCTGAAGAATGGCTTTCCCAAAATAAAATACGACAATAAAGAGAAAGGATACAAGCAGGCGCAGATCCAACACAAAGGCTGAAGAAATGGCCAGAATGCCCCATTCTCCCCACCTCCCCAAAACCAGCAGCTGTGCTCCAAATGTAAGGGGCAACTAGTTCTGACTGAATCAGGCTTAAAGACCTGATACAGTGTTTGTATCTGAACATTCTTAGGTCAGTTCAGGCAGGTGGCAGAGTTTGGAGTGAAACTGGCAATAACAACATGAATGAAGCATAACCACAAAAGGCAATCATCATAAAGTCCAAGGAAAATAAAAAAATTTGCAGGAATATGTAGTAGTCATAGACAGTATAATATAAACTCAGAACACTGATCTAGCTAAAATAACAATGCCATGTAATGAAAATATGGAGAATGGGCGAGCGTGGATATTTGGTAGATGGACAAAGTGCCCAAACCAATAAACACTAAAACCAAACCCAACCCACTGCCATTGAGTCAATTCCTATTCACAGCAACCCTACACTGTCATAGAAACCCAGTGGTTTACAGGGCTCGTCATTCCCCTGCAGAGCAGCTGGTGGATTTGAACCATCAACCTTGCAGTTGAGCAGTCCAATGCTCACCCTACAGCATCCCCAGAGTTCCTTTAATAAATATCAAAATCAGAAAATTCAAGAAGTAGCCAAACTGGCATGTTCTTTCTCAACAGTTTTAATTGGGAGGGTGAGGGGATGGGGTAGCGGTTATGGACTGGGGATGGGTAAAACTGAAATTGGTAAAACTATTAGACTCTAAGCTATCTGCAAATAGTTTTTGGTCAGCTACAAAAATAAGGCAAGGCCCTTGATGTCAATGAACTCATGGAAATAAGTGTTAACAGAAGGAGGCTCAAAGCACAATGGGAGCCAAACCAAATTTACATGCTGTGATTGATCTAAAGAAGTCTTTAAAAACCATTACCCACATTCCATTTTCCTCTCATGTACTTAACAAAAGTAAGGATCAGTTGTCTGAAAGAATTAGTAACGATCAGCCTGTGTTCACAATAAGGATTTAAAAGACATCAAAATAATCAACCATCGGGTGTTGAATCTGTAGATATGGCCTACTACAGAAAATAATTCTGTAAAGGTTTATTGATACAAAAACAAAACTTCTGTAACATGCTCCCTCGAAAAAATTAATAATGGATCATTTTTAAACTGATGGTGGGGAATGAAGACAAAGTTAGAATTTGAACCTTTTGATGCTAAAAAGTGACTGCGGGATGCGGATATTTTAAGTGGAACTGTGAAGACACAAACCCCACTACAGCTGGGATAGGGTCACAGTGTTTCTTAAAACCTGTCTGGCCTTTGTCACCTACCTGCCTGTTTATCTCACGGATGTTCTAAATCTTTATCATGTTTCTTGCTAGAAATACTGTTCTTTGGTAGAAAATTCCTGTAGTTTGCACTCAAGAACTACCTAAAATTCACTTGCAATTATTTAAATCTAATAAATTATACATGTTTTCTGGGTTTTTTAAGGCATTATGGGAACTTAGTGTGCTCAGGTAACAGAAATAACTAGGAAGAAGAAATAAGTGCAAGTGTATTGTGCTTAATGTTTGTCTGATGCAGAAAAGAGAACATTAAGTGGATGGGGAGATTGCGTACTGGCTGCCAAACCTACTGAGTCAATCCATCATCACTAAGCAAGGGGAATGGGGCCACCAATCCATCGACCAGTAAGACATGTTCCTAGAGCCCAAGCAGGCAGAATCTGGGAGAACGAAACCGAAAAAGGTGGTAACAATTCAGGGTGGTGACTACATTCTGAGATCAATCCTTATTCCGGGAAGAGGCTGTCGTTATCCATGGGAACACTCACTTGTGCTTATCTAACAGCGGAGGTAGATGGGTAAACAAAGGCAGCTCAGGGGCCAGACTCCATCATACCCCACCTAGCATCTGGCGCGATCAATCGGCAGGGTCTTTCCGCAGAGAACAAAACCCCAGTGAGGGCGGTCCCCGCAGCCCCTTGGCAGGGCTGAAGGCAACTCACCGACTCTGCGGCTGCTTCCTGCTGGTCCACTGCCAGGGCCCACGAGTCTGTGGCCATGGTCGCGGGCGCGAGGGGGGCGCTAGAGGGGGGCGCCTCACCGGCCGCCGAGCCGCGATCCTGGGGTCCCGAGGGTCGCGGCGAGCCGGGCTCCGACCCCTTTGCGGGGGAAGTCATTGGCTAATGTGCTGGGGACCGGAAGCGGCGCGCCGCAGTGACGTTTAAGTCCGCGCCACCGCCGGCCTGCCCAAACCCTGGTTCCGGCTGTAGCTCCCACTGCCTTCAGATCCCTGTCCCCGTCCCTGACGCTGGGATGGCCACTCTGAACCCAACATCCTGCAGGGCGGCCTAAGTGCGGAAACTCCAGTAAACGAAAAAGCAAAACCGCGCTCCCGCCCCGCACAGTGGCCCAGATGACCTCACGGACGGGACAAAACAGAACCATCCTTACAGCTAACCACCCAAAGCAAGCAGAGGGCTCTTTCGCGTCTAGGCTGGTCATTTAAAAGGCCCAAGTGTTGGCAACCGGTGTTGAGGATCAAGTTTCCTCCATGACTTAAAAGAAAAACGTGCACCACAGACAATGTGGCAACACCATTCATAGGAAGTTAGCTCTTAAAAACACTCAAGGAGGGTGCAGGGAGAAACTCCAAGAGCGTCAGAGACAAGAGCACAGGAAAATTCACCCAGTCAGGGCCGAGGGTGGAGGTGGGAGGAAGAGAGAGCCAGGTGCAATCGGTTTAGAGGTTGATGAGAAGGAGCCTTAATGATGCATGCATTTGGAATTGACTGTGCCTGTGTTAGAATCCCAGGTGTGTCTGGGATTAAGGCTGGTGGTGGGCTTATTAGGTAGCTAGCTTAGGGTATGGGGGGTGTCCCTCCCATGGCACAGGCCCCCCCAGAGGAGGTTGGAAAGAAATAGGGCAACCTTTGGACACCTATGGGAAGACCCCAAACTGAGCATGCACAGACTAGGACCCCTTAGCACAGGTAAAACCTATCCTCCACCTTAGACGAAGGCTTAGGTACATCTCACAGGTCAACCAATACCTTCAACCATGCCTCCCGAGACAGAGGTGTTGAAAGCCTTCTGCAGGAAAGCCAATTTCTCTCTTACCCTGCTCCTGGTCAGCAGCAGGTGGAGGGTGAGGGTCTCCCATGCCCACTCCGGGACTACTTAGGGCCCACAGCCTCTTGGCTCACATGGTCTTAGTCTCTAGGGTTCTTGGGCTTCTGGCCTCCCTGGATACTCCCAAGTTCTGCACGTGTGGTATGGTGCCCAGTTGTGAAGCCAAGCAGGGTTTCCACGCGGCCTGGCATGCTTTACAGAAATAGTGTGCACCCTTTTGAGACTAAAACCTGAAACCTGTCCTGTCCTTCTTGAATGCTCAGATTAGAAAATGTGCTTCGGCCTAAATTCTTGCAGCATACGAAGCAGCAAGAACCCAGGTACAACCCACTCTAGAAAGCAAACAGGTTTTGTGCTCCATCAAACAGTTTCAGTCTTGTTAGCCCACAGGTGAGCGATGGGTCGGCAATAACTTGATGGCAGTAAGTTTGGTTGGGGTTTGGTATCACACAAGGCGTCACGTTGAGTTTGGATTTGAATGCACTCCAGCACTTAGTCCAAGAGCTCTGGGGAGCCTTGGTTACCACAAGATCGTGATTCAATCTATCTTTTTAATTAAGCATTTCTGGGGGAGGGGACTCTTACAAATCTTGGAAAACTCCATCACTCACCAGCACTAAGCACACCTGTACACATGTTGCTATCAACATTTCCAAAACAATTTCTTCCTACTTGAGCCCTTGGTATCAGCTTTTTCCCCTCCCACCCTCGCGAATCATTGATCAATTACGCATTATTAAAAAAAGTATTATTTCGTGTCTTATACTGTCCGTTGTCTCCTTCACCCACCTTTGTTAGTCGTGCCCCAGGGTGGAGGCGGGAGGCAATATATCCAACCGTTTGATGGGTTCCGCTTTCTCCTCCTTCCCCACCCCCACCATCACAATATCGCTACTCCCACTACTGTTCCTAAGGGCTTTTGTTGTTGTTGCTGTTCCTGAGGGTTTATCCGTCCTGAATTCCATGTGTGGAAAGCTCTTATCTGTACCAATGTGTGCACAACGGCACGGTTCAATATGAAGGCTTCCGGCCCAGTATCTGGCCAAGGCTCGAGAAATACGCTGCTGTTACTACTGATACTACCTCCCACCACCCCTCCGACTTTGAAGATGTGGCACAAGGTCCTTCTCCCCTCAGGGATACTCACAGCGCCCACGGGAAGGACAAGGGGAAACCGCCTCAGGGCGCGGCCTCGGATTCGGCCAGAAGCCCCGGCCATCGCCCCTGAGCATGGCGGTTACGCTCCGTCTAACTGCCGCAGGTGTACCCGCCGGCCGGCTCTGAACTCAAGCCTCATTGGCTGCGTCCTGAAAGCTTCCCGCCAGCCAATCAGCTGAGGGAATGGTAGAGCCCCGAGGCATGCGCACTGGACTCCCTTGGGGCCTGAAAGGGGGCTGGCAAGTTCTACTTTTGTCTTTCCCCTTCCTGCAGCGTGTTGAGCCCTCTCCCAGCCTGGACTGGGAACTTCCTCGAGGGCAGGGTTTTTCCTTAATGCTGATCGTCCGTGAATAAATGGATGGGGAATGTGCATCCCACGAATACTCACAGTTTATTCATCTGTGGTATCTTGAGGTATAACCAAAATGGTCCTTTAAAATGAGGATAGAGAGCATCCCAAGTGCTTTGGACATGTCCACAGGAGAGTCCAGTGCCTAGAGAAGGTCGGAATGCTTGGTTAGAGGGTCAGTGAAAAAGAGGATCAGTCCTCAACAAGATGGGCGGACACTGGGTTTTGAACACAGGCAAGACTGTATAGGTGGCACACGACCAGGCAGTAGTTTGTGCTGCTGTGATAGGGTTACTGTGAGTTAGAACTGACTTGATGTTGGAACTCACAACACCCAAATCTCATCTGCTTTTAGGTTTTGCATGCTCCAAGGGGAGGTTGACCCAGACTTCTACTTGTCTGAGAGGAAAACAGACTCCAAGTTCAAATACAGTATGGAAAGAGAGACACATTTAAGACAAAGGCAAGACAGACAAATTAGGGATTAGGGCAGCAGTTCTCAACCTGTGGTCTCGACCCCTTTGGGGGTCCAACGACCCTTTCCCAGGACTCGTCGGAAAAAACAAATATTTCACAATATATAATTACATATTGTTTTGTGATTAATCAGTATGCTTTAATTATGTTTAATGATGTTCAATTTGTAGCAATGAAAATACATCCTGCATATCAGAAATTTACATGATGATTCATAACAGTAACAAAATTACAGTAATGAAGTAGCAACGAAAATAATTTTACGGTTGGGGGGGGTTCACTGCAACATGAGGAACTGTATTAAAGGGTCACGGCATTACGAAGGCTGAGAACCACTGGATTAGGGAGACCAGCAAGATGCCAAAATGATGTTCAAGGATTCATTAAAAAAAAAACAAAAAACCCTCACTGCCATCAAGGTGATTTTTTACTCCCAGTGACCTTGTAGGACAGGGGAAAACTGCCCCTGTGGGATCCTGAACTGTAAATCTTTACAGGAGTAAACGAATCCTCTTTCTCCCTAGGAGTAGCTGGTGATTTCAAACCGATGACCTTGTGGTTTACAGCCCGATGGGTTACCAGGGCTCAGTTTGACAGAAATTTGACAACACAAATAAGACGAAGTCGCAAAATCAGGGTTGGCAGCAGATCAAGTCACCACAGTTGCAGGCAATATTGCTCAAGAGAAAAGGACAATGATTGGGATACGTAACTATTACAGATTAGAAAGCCTTACAAGATTAGTTCAGGGCTCTCCAACCAGGTTAGTCAGGTACGATTCCAAACTACGCCACCTTAGTACCTAATTTTCATCTAGGGCACACTAGGGCAAGTCCTTGAGGGCTAGGCTGTCCCCTCCCGAGCCACTAGGGATATAGTAATTTAACTTATTTTTAAAATACTTTTATTGGGGCCTCTATTTTTGTATACACTCTGCCTGAAGCAAAAACTTTTCACAATGGCCAGAAAGAACTTACAGGAGGCTGAATCTATGTGCAGCCTTCCACATAGGTAGTGTTCAGAATTTAAACGCTAATATGTACTAAACAAGCTATGGGTATAGCTCTCGCTCCCTATTTGTTTTGCCCCAAAGGCAAAACAAATATATATATGCCAATTGACCTGCAGTCTATTATCCCTCGACAACCGTGATGTGACACGAAATCCACCAACTGATAAAGACCAGCGCACTCAGGCATGACAGATCAGATCTTTTAAGTCTATATTCTCTTGGGTTTTATAATTCTGCAACTAATTGATCACGGCTGGATCAAGAGCTGTGACCTCTACCAAAGGTCAATCACCGTTCCTCTGGTCTTGCCTATCAATGAACAGAGCACAGCAGATGGAAACTGTTAGGTTTCTGGAGTGGGTGGGTACCTCGGTTCTTTGCTTCCCACGCTGAAAGAATTCGTGCCGAAGCACGTTTGGTGATCCAAGTGGGTTTTTAGGAAGGAACGGAAACGTTTCAGGTGTTAGTCTCCAAAGGGTAGGCGCTATTTCAGGAAAGTGTGCCTACGAAAAACCCACGTGGAAAAGAACACCACGCGTGTGGAACTGGGGGATCGCGGGGACCAAGAGGGCAAGAGAGCAAGTGAGCAAGAGCCTAAGAGCCCTGTGGGCCTCTGCACGCATGGGAGGGGCAACCCCGCTGGTGCCTAAATCCAGCTCCCCAACAGGCACCAAAATGGCAGGCTCCAGGAGTCCGCAGGCAGCGCTACCGCGTGACGCGCCCTAGGTCCCTGCTTTCCCCGCCGTTGCATCAGCCGAGTCAGCGCAGCCGCCCCAGAAGCCGACGGACAAGCTGATTCGTCCTCGAGTTGACTGGCAGGTCGGCTGACCAATGACGTTTCCCGACGGGGAGGCGCGGCGGGGCTCCACGCAACGGCGCGTCCCGATTGGAAAGCGTAGTGCGGGTTGCGGCTGGGGGTGGCCCGGCGCCGGTACCGCTGCGTGGTCGCCGGAGCAGGTAGCCGCGCGCCGTCGCGGTGGGCGCCGCGGGAGGGATTGGGCCGGCGATCGCGCGGAGGAGGGTCGCGCGGAGGGCTCGGCGGCGCCGTGCGAGCCTGCGGGTAAAGCGCGCCGCCCGTCGGGCCCCGGGGCAGCCCCGCGACACCCTGGGAACCAGGCCTGGGCGGGAGTCCGGGTTGCGCCGAGACGGCCTCAGTGGCCTCTCCTCGGCCCCCTGAAGCGCTGATCGCGGCGTAGCTTGGGGTGGCCTTGCCGAGAAGGGAGACCTTGGGAGGGCCACGGTTGCCATGGACTGCCCGCCCCAAACGGGCTTTATGGGCGCTGCTTCTCATCCCTTAGGGGCGCGCCGGGAGGGGACAGGGTGGTCCAGATGGGTGGGGTCCCGCTGGGAGGCTTTCCCAAATTCCTAAAAATGACGAAATGACCGTCACCGGTGCGGGTCTACCCAGGAGAACCTGAGCTGCGCCGTCGTGTGCTCAGCCATTACTCTCTTCACACGATCTGGGTTGACGTTATGGGTTGAAAGGAGTTCATTCAGAGCTTACTGCGGAAACACGGTTATACCTTACCTAATCAACCGATATTTAACAAACCACTGTGATAGATGCTGAAGATGCAAATGCTTTTTTGGAACTGAGGTATGACAAATGAGAAGTTAACTGGCACAAGGGAAAACTCCAGGGGTGAGGCGGACAGGCACCAGGCAAAGGAACCTTCAGAAACCCAAAGGCTTTCTTTGATGGCAGGTACACAGGATCCTTCCAGATGCTGCCCAGAGGTGGAATCAGAGGGGACCCTTTGTCAGACCTCTGCCTCCCACACAGCCTTCCTTCACTGTGACTACTGAGTAAATGAACGGCGGGAATGGGGACACGACTTTTAACACTGTGGCCTCCTTGGGGCTGGTAGTCAGTCGGTACATGTACTGACTTTTATATAATACTCCGATGATTTGTCGATATGTCTTTCCCTTTAAGGACAGACTCTCTTAATTCATCTTACTCCTATCACATATGTAGGCACTCAGTATAGCGAATGAATAAGCTAAAATTGAGAGTGGGGTGTTTCTTTTGGAATTTAATATATTAACCTCAAATTTAGAGCAGTCTTAGTGCCACAGTGGCTAAAGCACTTGGCTGCACCTAAACCGTTAGCAAACCCACCACCCGCTCCACAGAAAGATGCAGCTGTCTGCTTCTGTAAAGATGGGCAGCCTTGGAAACCTTAGGAGGAGGTCGGTTTTGGTTTACCCTAGTAAAGAAGCAATGAACTTCTTTAGACATATGTTGCCCTCGTTTCCACTGCTGTAAATTCATGTTTGCCCCCATTAGTACGTTTCATCGAGAGCTATGGTGACCAGGAAGAGTGTGGTATGAAGAACCTCCTCAGAACCCGGGCCTTGACTTCTGAACGTGAACTATCAAGTGCCCATCTGAGAATTTAGTCCGCCCTTTGGCACTTACAACCAGTGTTTCGCCATCTTTGTGCCCAGCAGGTTTTTGTTTGCCTAGAGAATTAACGGAATTGTGAATAGATTGATTGACATTGTGTGGTGAAAATTGAATGAGAACCGGGGGCTCTTGTTCATCCTCTTTATCCATTCTGTTCCTCTCGCTTTTTATCCAGTGATAAGAAGACTTTCATCCCTGAAACTCCGTGGTGGAGTGGGCAGGGTGCATATTTCTAGATAGAGATACACCGTGTACCCACCCGCATCCCTGAAAAGGAAACAAATTCAGGGCAAAGTGGCTCAAGGTTAAAGTTGGGTCTAGAACTTGAGAGACTGAAGATCATGTTAAGAATGAGGTGGTTGGCATTGTACCCGCTATCACTGTACCCCCAAGCCAGTGACAGGGACTCAGCACCAAGGCCTGGCCCTCCCCCTAAGAGAAATAGTGATCGATGTGAAAGAGTGTTGAGACTGTAAACTCTGTCGTATTTCCAGTGTCCCTTTTTACTCCCATTCGCTCTTTTTACTCACACACTCCCTCCCTCCTGCCTCCTCAGTGGCTCTGCAGCAGGCTCACTCCCTGGCAATCTACTGCGAAGGATTAACCAGTTGTATTTCTAGGCGTTTCAGTGGGTAGAAGCTGATAGGATTGCTGCTGCTGACAAGAGCCTCACAGAGGTGTCAGTCCAAACCTCGAGCCCTGGGCTCTGGAGAGAGTGGGCCTGAGCCCATTTCTAGGCTCCTAGGTTAGCACAGAGCTGGGAGAAACCTTAGGTCATGTAGCCTGGCTGGTGACATGAAGTGATACGACTTGGAGCTAGGACTGCAGCACAGGTCCGTGCGCCTCCCCTGCGAGCTGTTTGCTGTATTGGAGGGTTTATGAATGTCGTTACCTCAGTGTCTTCATTCCCAGCCCAGGGCCTCGCCCAGAGTGGGTGCTCAGTGCATGTTTGTTGAGCGCATGCACGCGTAAGCAGATGGCCTCCAGCACCCATTGGTGTGTTGGTGTACTGAACTGCCCATAACTCATGGCCAGCACTCGGAGGAAGGACTCAAGCTGCTGCCTGCTGGTTTTGCTTTGATAACAACTTTAGCCTTGAACTTTACAACCTAGAGGTTTGGGATCAAACAGCTGCCCGTGCCCTGCTTTACTTGGCTTGAGAAGCTCAGTCTGATGCAATGCCTCTTTCTCTCTGAGGTCCAATTCTCTAATTTTCCTTCATTTCTCTGTTAGCTCCGTAAGTGACTTTCATGATGGACTCGACCCTAACAGCGAGTGAAATCCGGCAGCGATTCATCGCTTTCTTCAAGAGGAACAAGCACACCTATGTCCACTCCTCTGCCACCATCCCCTTGGATGACCCCACTCTGCTCTTCGCCAATGCAGGCATGAACCAGGTAAGGGTTTTTCCCTTTCAGCCTGCCTGTTGGTTCAGTTGGAGGAGGCAGCAGAGCTGATAAAGGCCCAGGTCCTGGAGTCAGACAGAATCCCTGTTCTGTCACTTGCTGTGTGACCTTGGGGACGTTTCTGCCATTGAACTTCTGTTCCTCTGTCTGAAATGAGGGATGAGCATAGTACTTGCCTGGAGGGCTTCCTGACAAAAGTCTGTGACAGCGGGACATCCCTGTGACTGTGGAAGCTGACACGTGCCCCTCCTCTCCGTAGTTCAAACCCATCTTCCTGAACACCATTGACCCGTCCCACCCCATGGCAAAGCTGACTCGAGCTGCCAATACCCAGAAGTGCATCCGGGCGGGGGGCAAGCACAACGACCTGGATGACGTCGGCAAGGATGTCTACCATCACACCTTCTTCGAGATGCTGGGCTCCTGGTCGTTTGGCGATTACTTCAAGGTAAACATGAAACAAAGCTGTCGGGGCTCTCAGCAAAAAGGTGGTTTTTACGGTGAGCGATGGGTTCTAATTCTGCATGTCATCCTTTCAGCAGGTTTGGGAATTATCAAATCTGAGACTTCCTGGGAGCTGTGTCTATAGTTTTCCTTTATAGTTGCATTTCTTGTATGAGTCTCATGTGGTCCTGAATTTGCTTGCATTTATATAGAGTACAGTTAGTTCCATACCTGTGTTCCCAGGATCTGAGCCTTTTTTGAGGAAACCAGGTAGATTTCTGGTTGGACCGTGTTCCACCTCTTTCCTTTTGTCCTTCTTTTAGGAATTGGCATGTAAGATGGCCCTGGAACTTCTGACCCAAGAGTTTGGCATTCCAGTCGAAAGACTTTACGTGACTTACTTTGGTGGGGACGAAGCCGCTGGCTTAGAACCAGATCTGGAGTGCAAACAGATCTGGCAAAATTTGGGGTAAGACTGGGGAGTGAATGGAGGAAGAAAATGAGTCAACTTGGTGCCTAAATGGGGCCTTAAGATTTGGGCTGCAGGGGCCTTTCCCGGTTTGGAGCGTGCATTTTGAGATGGAGGTGGGGGATCCGAAACCAAACTACTGCCGTCCAGTCGGTGCCAACTCATTGCGACCCTAAGAGTTTAACTGCCCCTGTGGGTTTCGGAGGTGGTGACTTCTGACAGGAGTCGAAAGCCTTTCTCCCGAGGAAAGGCTGGTGGTCACTGGCCTTGTGGTTGGCAACCCATTGGGTAACTGGCATTACCGGGGCTCTGATTTAAACAGTCAAGCTTTACTTATTTAAAATAGTATATTGTGTTTTGGGTGAACGTCTACATAGCAGCTTGGGTTCCCATTTCACAGTTTTTTTGTTTTTTAACAATTTGTTCTGTGACATTGGCTATATCTTCTGAAATGTGTCGGTCTCATTTCCATTCTCTCGCTTCTGCTTCCATTTGTCCGGCTTCCCCGCTCCCCTTGGCTCCTCACCGTTGTCTGAGGGTAAATGTTGGCATTTGGTCTCACAGAGCTGAGCATTTGCGGTTCCCAGTCTTTACAGTGATGGTGGTTTTGGAAGCCTATTACTCCATGGTTCAGTTCCACGCTCAAAGGGAATATTGGGATAATCCTGAGGGTTAACCTAGACTCTTATCAGCCCAGTAATTCTCGCCTTTTTAAGGAATTTGAGTTTTGTTCTACATTTTTCTCCCCATAGGCAGGACACTCTTGTGTCCCTGGTCAGAACCGCTGTAGTGCTAGCCAAGCCCCATCGAGTGCCCGTCTCAGGCCTGATGAGCTTGTATTCCCGGGAACTAGTGTCTTCCCCGAGTCTTTGGCTTCCTTCGTTCTGTTTTGGTCCAGGCAAGAAGACACCGATAGTTCTATTGTGGAGGGCTGCTCACCCGCTTTTCAGACCCCAGGTCCTCCTCAGCCAACCAGGATGGAGAATGTTACCTTTGCAAACTCTTATTAGGCCCATTGACCAAGTTGTTTCGTGAGACTATGGCCTTCAAACCTAGTAAACTAATCACATTTTTCTTGTTTTTAAATCCTGATAACCACCAAAATTTTTAAAATTTAAACTATAGAAATGTAGAAAATGTTTTCTAATTACATAGTGTTCTAGCCCTTTTTCACATTTCTGTAGTCCTCTGGGTATGTCTTTTTAACAGGGTCTTCATGTAAAAGTTTATCTTCGATGGGAATGTAGAAGTGCCAAACAAATGGGGCTAGGGGAGGAAAGTCGCTTTTTTTTTTTATTCGTTTTTAAATTATTGTACTTCGTTTTAAAATCATTCATGTAGCCTAAAAGCCAAGATGATAACTAATGTGTGCCCTGTGCGTTTAGTTCATGAAGCACTGCACACAGGCAGGCGGGCGCTTTGATGCCTTTGTCTCACTTTCTCGTTTCTAGAAAACCCTTTCATCCATTAGTGGCTGGCTTTTTAGTACATATGAACGTTGTGGTTCAGGGGGGGAAAAAAAGGAAGATAATTGTTTTTCTCAGTTTTTCAGTTTTGACTAGGCATTTTGCTCCAGTTCAGCCTTCTCCTTCACTTGCTCGGAAACCCTGCTTGGTCAGACTCTAGTATAATTGCACGTTTTGGGTACTAACAAATGCGGAACTTCAAGAGCTAATCTTTTTTTCCCTGAGATCATGTAATCATTTTTTTAATTAAATACTTTTACTGGGGACTCTTAAATCTCCTATCACAATCCGTACATTCATCCAGTGTGTCAAGCACATTTGCGCTATCATCATTTTCAAAGCATTCTCTTCCCACATGAGCTCCTGATATCGGCTGCCCTAAAAAGCTCATCTTAGCCCCGCCTTTGGAAAGCCTGGGTCACCTGGCTTCCTGACGGTCTGCATTTGCTCTCTCGGAACCCTCTTCTGAGCTCTGCTGCCCATTTCTTTCAGCAAGGTCAGATGTTGTCTATGTTTTCATCACCTGAAATGCTCTGTGGTGTAATTGGAAGTAAAGGACTGATGACTCCATTGGGGCGTAGAGAAGTATCTGGAAATAAACAGCCCTGTTATGACATATTTTCATGTGATACAAATTTTTTTTTAATGAAAGAAATTTGCAGCACACACACACACACCAAATTTTTTTTTGCTCAAATTCTGGTCCTAGTTCAATTTTAAATCGCACTGGACATCCTAACATGTTTCACTTTTACTTGTTCCCTTCTCTGTGCGATTCTTTGAGAAGGATCGTGTGGTGCCCCACTAGCCAGCTGTCTGCAGGCTGTTTGCCGCGGAGCTGGCGTCTTTGTGCACTTGAACCCCGCAGAGGTGCCTTGCTGTGGGGGAGGGCACCCGGGATGACCCTCATCAGTAACTGTAACTCAGCTTGCCTTCCGTGCTCTGTACAGACTCGACGATGCCAAGATCCTCCCTGGCAACATGAAAGACAACTTCTGGGAGATGGGTGACACGGGCCCGTGTGGCCCCTGCAGTGAGATCCACTATGACCGGATTGGTGGCCGAGATGCCGCCCACCTCGTCAACCAGGACGACCCCAACGTGTTGGAGATCTGGAACCTCGTCTTCATCCAGTACAACAGGTGGCCTTGGGGTCCTGCCCCTTCCTGTGACCAAGTCAGGGAAGAGCAGCCAGAGCTGCCTGGCCATCTTCTCTGTAACATGTCCCTTTTGCCCTCATCTCTGGGGACAGCGGGGCAGCACCAAAGCAAGGCCGTGACAGCTTCAGGGACCCACTGGCCCATTTCTTGAGACGTTACTTCTGTTTGACCTCTGCTCTCTGGGACTGGGCTGAGCCCATTCTTTGGTAAACTAGTCTGCTGGAAGGCACTGTAATGTCCTTTCTTCCATCAGAACGGGCACACACCCCTTGTTTTACTGCACTTTGCAATTCAGAGGTTGTAGACATGGAAGGTTTGTGGCCACCCTGCCGCAAGCAAGTCCGTCGCCACCGCTTCGTCCCCCCACAGGTGCTCACTTCGTGTCTCCAGACTATTTCATCCTGGGACTGCGTGTTTCCTCGGCCAGGGGGTAGGGGGACCATCACACTCTGTGCACTGGGAAATCACAACCATTTGTGTGACTCGCTTTGTGATGTTCACTGTATTGCCGGGGTCTGGACCTCAGCGGCCCTGTGCTGTCCCAGCTGAGCCTCACTGCACCCAAAGGCATCTCCTTCCCTTTCTCCCACTGCTCCCATCCCCACTGCACCGGCTGACTTCCCGTCCCTGGGGACTCGGCGGTGGCAGTCTGAGTCCCTGTTTCAGCTTCTTCCTTTCTCTGGCTCCGGCAGGGAGGCCGATGGCATTCTGAGACCTCTCCCCAAGAAAAGCATTGACACTGGGATGGGCCTGGAGCGCCTGGTGTCGGTGCTGCAGAATAAGATGTCCAACTATGACACGGACCTTTTCGTCCCTTACTTCGAGGCCATTCAGAAGGTACTGGTCCTCGTGAACTGTCCCCAGCCGTGCTCTCGGCAGTGCCATCATAGATCAAAGAATCGGGCTCTGCCAACCAAGGGCACCTGGGCCCACTTGCCACCCACTTTCTCACCTGAGGGCTTGTACCAGGCATGGTCTGGGTGGGAGTGCAGAAAGGCTGGCTGCAGGCCTGGAGGGCTTCGACTGTCCCCTCCTGGAGGCTGGAGGACTGGGCCACGTGGCTGTCCTTTCTGCTATTGCTCCCGCAGGCCCTCCTGCAGCAAACTGACGGCTGCCTCCTGGTTTTCTCTGTAGGGCACAGGTGCCCGGCCGTACACTGGGAAAGTTGGTGCTGACGACGCCGATGGGATTGACATGGCCTACCGGGTGCTGGCCGACCATGCTCGGACCATCACCGTGGCGCTGGCTGATGGCGGCAGACCTGACAACACAGGACGGGGGTGAGTGTGTCACGCTGGGCAGCATTTAGACAAGCACCAGACGGTTGGTGGCTTTAAGGGGGTCAAGCCGACAAATGCAGCCACTGCTATGGAGTTGATGCCGACATCTAGCGCCCTTCAGGAGGGGGTCACATTGCCCCTGTGCGTTGCCCAGACTGACTCCTCAAAGCCACACGCTGTCACTGTTCTCATCTTCTTTGGGGAATTGAAGGGCTCTTTCCTCTTAGGGATTGAGGGAGCTTTAACTCCCTTAATGACAATGTGTCTCCACCTAGTTAAGTCTTTGTTGCTAAGGTCAGAGTGGTGAGTACTGTATTTAAGGCTAGCGAGGGAAGGGGTGAGCAGGTACGGTTGAGCTTTGGAAAATCCCCCACAAGCAGGGGGCCTGGGAGCTCAGGGGCCCAGTACTCTGGCTGGGCTGGCCTTCCGGACTAGCAGAGAGGAGGAAAGCAAGCCAGGATCGTGGCGAGCCGCCCTGGGTGAGCGTTTGCTGAGTTCATCCTGGAGGCCCGGTCGCTGGACTTGGGGAATGCAGAACCAAAGCGGGAAAAGTCTCCAGAGGAGAGAGGCGCAGGCGTCTCGTGGCTGTGGGTGTGCGTCCAAAGGGCCGTGTGCACTCAGCGGGGACGGGCGCTGTCTCCACAGGTATGTGCTGAGGCGGATTCTCCGTCGCGCTGTCCGGTACTCCCACGAGAAGCTCAACGCCAGCAGGGGTTTCTTCGCCACATTGGTAGACGTCGTCGTCCAGTCCCTGGTAGGTCCCTTCTGCAGGATGGGTAGCATGGGAAGTGCACACTGGGGAGAATTACCAGGTGGGGGCACGCGGCGCTCACTGGGCTCCTTACCCTCTTGCCAGGGAGATGCCTTTCCTGAGCTGAAGAAAGACCCTGACATGGTCAAGGACATCATTAATGAAGAGGAGGTGCAGTTCCTCAAGACGCTCAGCAGAGGGCGACGCATCCTGGACAGGAAAATCCAGAGTCTGGGAGACAGCCAGACCATCCCCGGTGAGTAGGCTCCAGTGTCTCACTGTGAGTGGCTCGCTGTGGCTTGATTAAAATGGGTTTCTTTGTAAAGCGGGGATTGTGGTAAAATTATCAGAGGAACCAGGTCATCGTGGTAAAAATACTCAAACAAAGCAAAATACATGAAGTGTAAAATGAAAAGCCCCTTTCCCAAACTCACTTTCTAGGGACAACTCTTAAATTGAGGACTTTTCTCTATTCCCACAAATAGACAAAAGGGCTTGCACAAATTAGTGGCGAAGTAGAACTAAAAGACAATCGGGTTTCCACCAACTGTTTGGAGCTCCCTCCTGTGCAGGCCTTTCCGTGTACTAGGAACCCTGATGGGCAGCAATGAAGTGCTTGGCTGTTAACAGAAAGGTCAGCAGTTTGAACCCATGAGCCAGATCCACGAGAGAAAGACGTGGGGGCTGGCTTCCATAAGGGTTACAGCCATGGAAACCCTGTGGGTGGCTCTGCTCGGTCCTGTAGCCACTTGCTGGGTCGGGGTGTGGGTGAGGGCGAGGGCGGGTGTCTACCTAAGGAGCCTGGTGGCACAGCGACTGGGCAGTGAGCTGCTCGCTGAAAGAGAAAGGTGCGGCAGTCAGCTCCTGTAGAGACTCCCAGCTCTGGGGAACGTCTGTGCGGTCATTCAGGGATGTGTCAGCACCAGCTGGGTGTGGAATGTGTGTTTGCTGTGCAAAACCAGAACGATAGGAGGCGCGGTTTTTCCACCAGAAGGGACAGTTATTTAAGTTGACCTTATTACATACGAAGGGCAGCTTGATGAGTTTGCACAAGAGGAACACTCCCATGTTCAGATCAAGGACTTTCACCAGGTGGCCCTGAGTGCTACCTCCAGGTGGATTCCTAAAGGCAGTGGGGTTTGACAGGGGCCGGGTCAGGAGTGAGTGGCCTCGTCTGTCACGGCCTGTCTGTCGCCTGGGAGGACTCACTCGTGTTCACATGGCTCTTCCGCAGGGGACACAGCATGGCTTCTCTACGACACCTACGGGTTCCCAGTGGACCTGACTGGGCTCATTGCGGAAGAGAAGGGCCTGGCAGTGGACATGGAGGGCTTCGAGGAGGAGAGGAAGCTGGCTCAGGTACGAGATGGAGGGTGCGAGGAGGAAACGGGGTCACAGCCACGCAGGGCTCGCAGTGAAGGCAGCTGTTTGCTTAACCTCATTCTTCTGGAGTTCACTGGTGCTCGGCGGGCGAAGCTCTGCCCCCGGGGCATCTGTCTGCAGGGAGAGGCGTGCTCCTGCCGCTAGTGTGGAGACCGGGGATGGTCACACGCAAAGAAGAATCACAAGTGACGGGAATGCCAGGGTTGATTTACCCCTGGTGCGCTCCGGCCCCTCCCTCCTGTGTTAGGGTCACTTACACGTTACCCTGGGAGCCTTCGTGGCACAGCTGCGAAGTGTTGGGCTGCTAACCCAAAGGTCTGGAGTTCGAACCCACCTGCCTTAGAAGGCTTACGGGGCAGTTCTACGCTCGTGCCAGGTCACTGGGCGTCAGGACAGACTCCAGGGCACCCACCAATCACACAGCAACGTGCGTGTTTCTCCTGCAGCTGAAATCACAGGGTAAGGGGGCCGGCGGGGAAGACCTCATCATGCTGGACATCTATGCCATCGAAGAGCTACGCTCCAGGGGCCTGGAGGCCACTGACGACTCCCTGAAGTACAGCTACCACTCAGAGCCCGGCGGCAGCTACGGTAGGTCCTGGGCTTCCCCGCCCGGGAGCTCTCTCTGACCCTGGTTTTCAGGCGTTCCAAGACACTAGGTGCCCTTCAGATCGGTGACAGTCGCTCCTAGAGCCCGTGGCATGCTCTGTGCCTTTACACAAGTTTCCCAAAACTTGCCCAGGGGCCAGTGCTAGCGGGATCCTTCGGGGCTGCCACAGCAGCCTATACTTGACCCCGGATTCGGGGCTAGAGTACACAGGTTTTTCATTTGGGGGGCAGGGCCCTGTGTTTGGTTTCATTTTTCAGAGAAGGGGCAGCTCATCAATTTAGTTTGGGCACGTTCTGCTGTGCATAAGGTGACCGGTTCGAACCTAACTCCGACAACAACATGGTAGCAGTGCTACAACGGAGCTCATGAAGCCTGTTTCGAGTTTGGTTGTTGCTGTTCTCAGTCCCAGGAGTGATCCCAGACCCTCAGTCTATCCACGCTCGCCTGCCAAGCGGGCCAGCCCCTTGTGCGCTGCCCTTGCGGTTAGCACTGTCTGATCAGATTCAACCAGCTCTGCCAAATTCCTCGTCCCGGGAAGCCCCCGGCATTGCTGTTAGGTGCTGTTGACTCAGTCCCACCTCACAGCGACCCTGCCCCAAACGCTGTCCAGTGGGTCACTGCTGGGGGTGGCATTTTCTGATGACAAACCATCGTGCCGAGCTCTTTCATGGTGTACAAGGGCTTGCTTCCGATTGGCTTGAGGGAGAGTTGGCAAAGTCTGTCTGCAGACACCGGCAGGGAATGCACACAGCGTCATTGAGGCCGCTCCCCCTTCTTTGCCTTTTGCATCGAGCAGTGTTTGAGAACACGGTCGCCACGGTGATGGCTCTGCGCAGGGACAAGATGTTCGTGGACGAGGTGGCCACGGGCCAGGAATGTGGCGTCGTGCTGGACAAGACCTGCTTCTATGCCGAGCAAGGGGGCCAGATCTATGACGAAGGCTACCTGGTCAAGCTTGATGACAACAGCGAAGACGTGAGCCAATCCTTGCTCTTTCTCATTAGCCTGGGCCAATGGCAGGGCCCTCCCCAAGTGTCAGCTCCCCAGGCTGCTGGGGTTGGGGAGACGGGGAGGCAGGCCACATCTGTGGGTGGGGCTTCACTGCCAGCCTTCCTGAAGTGAGGGCACTCTTTAGATGGTGGGGCTCTCATGGCTCTTAGTATCCTGGTAGGAAGCGGCTTGGAACCCGGTGCCTGGATTAACCTTCACTCCCTCGTGTTTTCCTCACCACGACACCGGGCTGGGGAGAGCTCGGCTTCCACTGTCCTCTGGGACGAGTGAGCCAGTCTCCTTGGGCCTCAAGTGTTTTTATAACTTACGAATTCTCCATGACACTCCCTAACTGTGTGTGTGTGTGTGTGTGTGTGTGTGTGTGTGTGTGTAGATGGGGTGGAGGGCTCTTCCAAAAGTTCGTGAGAAAATGGAATGATTCCACAAACTTCTGGAAACTCCCTTGGACATAATGACACGTGTCCGTATGCACCGTCAGTGGAGGGTCTTGGAGAATTAGGGAGTATGCACGTTTACAGGCATACATTCTTCCCGTCTTCCTTGGCCCCATGTAGAGGACGGAGTTCACGGTGAAGAACGCGCAGGTGCGAGGCGGGTACGTGCTTCACATAGGCACTGTCTATGGCAACCTGAGAGTGGGGGACCAGGTCCGTCTGTTTATTGATGAGGTGAGTGGTACCCTGCTGCCCGGCACTGCATCTGGCTGGTGACTGCTTTGATCTTGGACTCTAACTTGGCTCCCCGCTGCTGTCCCTCCTGAGTGGGACATCTGGGTGGTGGGCGATGTACCTGAGAGCGAAGGTTCCATCCGTCCACATTCCCCAGTCAGACCACGCGTGAGACCGCAGACTGGCTTTTGGCGGTTGCCGCTCTCCGCTCTCCGGGTTACTTGGAGGCTAAGGATCCTCTGTTCGTTCAGAAATTGGTTCTGCCGAAACTGGTTTTGACGGAAACCAAACTGCAGTCATACGGAAGTGTTTCTCCCCTAAGCTGACAAGGAGCTTCGTCCCACAGTGCAGGGCCTGGCCTCTTCTCCCTGGTTGCTTCCCGGTGCCCTGGTCTTCAGGGTCCAGGCCAGCTCCCAGCAAACTTGGCAAAGGGCTAGATAACACCTGCAGCTTTGCCAAACATGCAGTCTGCATCACGGCTACTCAGCTCTGCCACTGTCGTGAGAGAGCAGCCGGAGGCGATACATGAGAGGCAGGGCTGGAATGGAATCAAACACCATTTATAAAGGAGGACGGGCCTCTGTCGTTTGCCAGCACCCGTGCTGGGCTGTGCCCCTCTGCTCACTACCCACTGACCAGAACAGCCATGCTGTGCTGCCAGAGCAGCCAGGAGAGAAGGAAGACCCAGTCTCCTGCAGCCCTCCACACCTGCCGCTCTCCTTTCCAGACCCGACGCAGGCCCGTCATGAGCAACCACACGGCTACTCACATCCTAAACTTCGCCCTGCGCGCTGTGCTTGGGGAGGCCGACCAGAAAGGCTCCCTCGTTGCGCCTGATCGCCTGCGGTTTGACTTCACGGCCAAGGGCGCTATGTCTACTCAACAGATCAAGGAGGCAGAGGAGATTGCCAATCAGACAATTGAGGCAGCCAAGGTGGGTGGAGCCGGGTCTAAGCTCTCGGTCCCTGGCGTCTCCTTCTCTCCTCAGAGTTCCTGCCACTGTACCCTTGGTCCCTTACCCGGCCGTGCGCAGAGAGCTGCCTCAAGCAGTGACTCGGCTGTGCTGGAGGCGGGACGACCCAGGCTCGCCTGGTTCCGTCTGCCTCACCTGCAGCTCTGCTCTTCCACATAAGTTCTAGTCACAGCATCACGAAACAGCACCCCATCTCGGTCTCCTGGGCTTTGTACACGGCTCATTATTTTAGGGGGCTCCGGGCACATGACCTAGAGAGCTAGGATTGGAAACCCAGAGTTCTGTGTGAGCCACACGCTCCCTGCAGCATCCCACCAGGCCCCAGAGTTTGACTCTCTCCTCTCCCCGGCAGCCCGTCTATACCCAGGACTGTGCCTTGGCAGCCGCAAAAGCCATCCAGGGCCTGCGGGCCGTGTTTGACGAAACCTACCCTGACCCTGTGCGTGTCGTCTCCATTGGGGTCCCAGTGTCCGAACTGCTTGAAGACCCCACCAGTCCGGCCGGCTCCCTCACTTCTGTGGAATTCTGTGGGGGCACGTAAGTACCTTGGGAAGAACAAGAGGGGCAGGGCCCCCGGGGGTTTTTTTTTTCTGAGATAAAAGTGAAGTTGCCAAATAGCCCTTCCCAAGAACCCCGGCCTCCTGTACTCCTGTCAGACCCCTTGGCGCCAGCCCTTCCATGGCTGGTGTGGCGAAATGCCATCGCTCTCCTCCTTGGGCGGGGAGGCGTTTACACTCAGCAGGGCCCTGGCAGGCTCACAGAACGCCACTGCTTCCCGGGGGCCTTTCCTAGGTCCCTGCGTCAGCCCATCATTGGAGAGCAACCTATTTCTGCCAATTTGGAGTCCTTCACAGCCACCAGAATGCTACGGGAAAGGGATTGGTGCCGTGGGAAGTGTCCTGCTTCCAAAGGAAACCTGACAGGATATTTGCAAAGTCACGTAGAGCCCACCTGGGGCCTCTTCCAAGTCTCAAGCTGGGGGAGTGGGGATCCATAGGGGCCAAGTTCTAGCTGCACTGGACCTCCAAGCGATCCTCCCTTCTGCCTGGCATCAGTTGGCATGGCATGCCTTAGAACACAGAAGGTGACTGCAGGCTTCCTCCCTCCCTCCCAATGACCGGGTGGCCCAGTGCGAGTCTGCGGTTCCCTGAGCAGTTGGGAACGAGACCTCTTGGCTTAGGGGTTCCATGAAATGTTACATGCACCTCTCTGCCATCATTAGCTCTAGGGTGAGGGGTATATGTTCCTTGTCCCCCCAGGGAGCCCCAAAGATGGAGTGAATCGAGCAGCCTCGCAGCAGTAACGTTTGTGTTGGGCTTCAGGGATTATAAGGCACTCATGTTTGTCTGGATTTCCATCAGCCCTGTGAGGGGGATTGTCCCCATTTTGGACAGGAGGAAACTGAAGCTCAGAGGAGATAGTCTCTTGCTCAGTGTCACACCAACTCCCAAACCAAGGCACCTCCCTGACTCCCCTCCCACGTGAAGGACTTTGACCCTCCTTACACCTGGAGAGCCAGGCCTGGGAAGGGACTGCTGATGGGGCCTCCAGGTGCGGGCGGCCTCCCCTCACCCCAGGCTTTCTGTCCACACTGCAGGCACCTGCAGAACTCCAGTCATGCGGGAGCATTTGTCATTGTGAGTGAAGAAGCAATTGCCAAAGGCATCCGCAGGATTGTTGCCGTCACGGGGGCAGAAGCCCAGAAGGTGAGTGGATCAGGCGTCTCATCTAGTTCCCAAGGAGAGGGGCCCTTCCCACAAGTCCACTGGTGCAAACAGTTACAGGGCTGCTGCAGGCAGAACGGAAGGTACAGCCCACAATACCCCAAACACATCCTCCAGTTCACCGATTGGCAGGACTGCCTGGACACCTGTGCCTGCGGGGGGTGGGGAGGAGCCATAGTTAGCTGTGGCTCCGGGTACCCAGCCCTGTGGGGCGGGGTCATGTGCTAGAGGGGAAAGGGAGGCTATGTTCTCAGGGTAGGAACTAGCTCAGGCCTCACTGGTCCCCAAGTCTGAAGGTAGTCGTTTCCTGAGTGGAAAGGGCTCCTGCTTCGAAAGCTGGTCTCCCCGGCCCCCGAGTTGGGCCCAGCCTTGCTCCTGGGGAAGGTGTGCCTTTCTGAGCCATCAGGCTGCACACACTTGCTCCTTGAAAGAAGAAACACTTGGGTGCTTTGGGGGGATTCCTTCCCAGCCTGCCCTCTCAGCGGGGCTTGCCACGTGTCTCCTGATCTCACCACGGCTTGCTCCCTCCCAGGCCCTCAGGAAAGCAGAAAGCATGAAGAAATCTCTGTCTGTCTTGGAGGCCAAGGTGAAGGCCCAGACGTCGCCCAACAAGGACGTGCAGCGGGAGATAGCCGACCTCGGCGAGGTAGGGCCAACCTCCCTCTCAGGCCTGTGCTGGTCAGTGGAAGAACTCGCTGGAGCCAGCCCAGCCCTGGTGCTTAGACACAAGCCTTGGGGGCGTCTTGCAGGGCTGGCCCGGGACCCCACCAGCTCCTCCCACTGATGGCAGCTGTGCTCACAGCACAACGGCCCTGGCCTGGGGGGGGGCTGGGGCTCCTGCCTGCTGAGGTCTCCACACTACCCCTTCTTGCCAGCCCTGCAACTCACACCGGCCATGGGTCCCCCATGGGCAAGCAGACCCCCTCTTGCTTTTCCTTCTCTCTCCTCGCTGGGCGCTGCTGTGGAACCCACACACCCTCATGCTGTGCTTCCAGGCCCTGGCCACTGCCGTTGTCCCTCAGTGGCAGAAGGACGAACTTCGAGAGGAGCTCAAGTCCCTGAAGAAGGTCATGGACGACCTGGACCGTGCCAGCAAGGCCGACGTCCAGAAGCGGGTGAGTGCAGGGGGCCGACGGGAGTAAGAGGCATTCTGGGTGGGGAGGCGCCCTGCGGGCTGAGGGTCCCTTCTGCACATCCTTCCTGCAGGTGTTGGAGAAGACCAAGCAGCTCATCGACAGCCGCCCCAACCAGCCCCTCGTCATCCTGGAGATGGAGAGCGGCGCCTCGGCCAAGGCAACCCGGGCTGTCCCGAGGGCAGCCCTGGGGTGGGGGGTGGGGAGGCTGAGGCTGAGAGCCCACGGGTGGGGCGTCCCAGGGGCCGGGCCTGCTCCCAGGGCTAGGCTCTGACATCAGCCTCTCCCCACAGGCCCTGAATGAAGCCTTGAAGCTTTTCAAGACACATTCCCCTCAGACAGCCGCCATGCTCTTTACAGTGGACAACGAGGCAGGCAAGATCACGTGCCTGTGTCAGGTCCCCCAGGTAGGAGCCCCTTGCCTCCTGCCTCAGACCCTACCCACCCCTACCGTGGAGAGCGGCAGCCGCCGCTGGTTGCCAGCGCTCAGTTCCTCTTGTGGGGAGTCAGCTGCCAAGACCACCCCGACTAGAACAGCTGCTCTGCCCTCCTCTCTGCTAGTTCCCCTGATCTCCCGGCTGTCTCACTGATAAATATGTTTACACTGGCTGACACTTGGGGTGCCCTTGTCATGGTGGGGGGCCATTGGCTGTTTCCCAGCACCTACTCTAGAATCATTGCCCACCCCAGCAGCAGCCTAGGCCCTCCCCTGCGGTAGAACTGGGTCCCCCCTCCCACTGCTCCTTCCTGTCTTCCAGAATGCTGCCAACCGAGGCCTGAAGGCCAGCGAGTGGGTGCAGCAGGTGTCGGGCCTGATGGATGGCAAAGGTGGTGGCAAAGATGTGTCAGCCCAGGCCACGGGCAAGAACGTGGGCTGCCTGCAGGAGGCACTGCAGCTGGCCACGTCCTTTGCCCAGCTTCGCCTGGGAGATGTGAAGAACTGAGGAAAGGGGTGCTTCCCCTGGGAAGCATCTGCATCTACCCTTGCCCATTCCTGGGACCCATCTATCCAGACTGGCGCTCCAGCCACCACAGGACATTGGCATCTTGGACCTATGCACAGTGCCGTCAGCCCTAGCCCAGCAGGAACAGAACAGCCAGGGCCACCCTGCCTTGTGACTCGGTGCCCACTTTACATTTCCACCCCAAGCCCTGTAGCCCACGCTATCTGTCCAGAACCACTAAGTCTGTTTGTCATCGTCCTGACCTGGGTGTACTATCCCACAGACCCAAGGCTTTGGGGTTTGCAGGTTGGAGTCATTCTTGCTGCAGAGAATAAAAGGTTCATGTGCAATACCCTATGATGGATGCCTTGTGGTCCACCCTCCTCGGCCCCAGGTGACTCCATCCACAGCACCTGGCTTCTTTCCCGGGTCCAGCCCTCGCCAGGCCCCCTGAACTCAAAGATTGCCTCTTGAGGAGGCCAAGGTGGACAGAGGCAGTGCCGGGGGGTGGGGTGGGGAGGTGGGCTCACAGCCATAGACTAGTATAGGAAGCATTAGAAGCAGCCAAAGCTTCCCTTCCGGCCGCTGCCCACTCTCCTTAACTTGTAGACCCAGCTGTTAGGTTTCTCGGGTGGGTAATGCATCAGTTCTTGGCTTCTCACAAGATAGAATTCACACCGAAGCCTGGTTTGTAATCTAAGTGGGTTTTTATAAAGCACAGAAGTTTAAGGTTTTACAGTCTCAAAAGAGTCCACGCTATTTCAGGGAAGCGTGCCAAACCATGTAAGTACCCTGGGCACACCACTGAACACGGGCAACCTCGTGGGACTGCGTGCCCACACGTGGTGGCGTGAGGCCAGAGGCTGCAGTAAGGCCAAGTGGGTCCAAGGGGAGAAGGGGCCTGCCTTCCTGCCACCAAAGTATCTAAAGCCTCTGGCTGGGGAGGCATGGTTGATGGTATTGGCTGACCCCATTGGCTGAATTAAGCCCACCTGGTTGGGGTCATGAGCCTGGGCCTTGTTTGGACTGCCCAGGTATGTAGGGGCCGGTGCGGGCATGAGAGGAATAACCCCTGTCCCGCTGTTCAACAGCAATGGGGCTGTTACCCTGGCCTGGACCTGAGGCCACTTCACTCGTGTGAAGACTGCTGGGTGTGAGGGGAGGTAAATACAGAGACCACCTTCGGCCTCTAACGGAAGGCCGGTCTGGGGCCCCTGCTGCCAGAGGAAAGTAAGAGAAGCAGCCGAGGCGGGGGAGAAGCCAACAGAAAAGGTGCTGGGCAAAGACCACGGGGCGGTCTGAGGGCTCATTCCATCCCTTCTACGCCTCGAGTAGAGGGTCCAGAGAAAGGCCTTGGCCTCTACAAAGTAATTAAAGCCTTCACAAATTAAGGAAAACACACCTCGGTTTGCCCTGGCCTGGGGAG